AGGCAAGAAGGGGGGCGGCGGCCTGGCACCTGCCGATGATGTCGATGAGGAGGGAGAGCCAAGCGACAAGACGGCCAGCTGGGCGAAGATACAGGCAGCCATGCAGAGTGAGGAGCTGAAGGACCTGATGACGCCAAGCGCAGTAGAAATGCTCAGGGAGAACGTGGAGAAAGAGAAGGAGCTCACGGCCAAGCTATCGCCGCCGCCCGGCAATGTTTGGGCTGGGCAGATGAGCCACAGGGCGATTCAGATGATACGGATGATCCCCCTGCCTGAGGGGGTGAGGGAGGAAGACCAGCTGCCTGAGGTCAAAAAGTACCTTGAGGAGAACCCTGAGTGGGCGAGGTATGTAGACAAGCTGTGGGCAGAGGTCCCGCCTTTCTCTTAGCCGGACAAATTGGCCAATCATAACGGCGGACTGATAGCATCAAATGGGCGCTTGGCGGCCGCCATGGTCTCGTCCGTGTTGCTAATGGTCGGCGTGACGCTCGTGCTGCCAAACCCGCCCTGACCTCGGCTCGTCGCATCCAGCTCATCTACCATCTGACACACAAGACAATCGGGGAGATCAAGGGTGGACGAAGACACGTCGATGTGTCATGTGTCAGCTATCCACGTACCTCGAATGTGATACTGTCGCCCTTGAAGGACACGGCCTGCACCAGGCGGTCGCCCTTCTTGACCGTGTAGTCCTCACCGCGGATGTTGTCCAGGGCGGCCTTCAACTCGCCACGGTAACCAGCGTCTATCAAACCAACTGACCGACACGCAGATCCACACAGGCATCCGTCCATGTGTCTGTCCGCACAAAAAGAGTGCAGTCAGCGCAGATCTATCACTCCCAGCTACCTACCTCCGTTGCAGAGCCGCAGTGGCGTTTTGGCGATGGACGAGCGGGGGAAGAGCAGGAAGCTCACGCCCTTGTCGCCCTCCGAGGCCGAGCACTGTATGCCCAGGTTGACGAATCCAGTGGTGCCAGCTGCGATGGTCTGGTCCTGCACGACGAAGAGGTCCAGGCCCGAGTCGCCCGCATGATAGTGCCCGTGGTTGCTGTACAGCTCACGGGCTGCATCGTTCAAGGGCTTCACCTTCAGATGCATTTCGTCGTTCACGACCCCCCCAAAAGCACCCAGCTGGGGGGAGTCGTCGGATCGGTTCTTTCGGGGTTGCCAATCGACCCAATGAATCAACCGAAAAAAACGCACACGGAAAAGACGCCAGGAAAGCGCATGCAGCCCCCACCCTTCAAAATCAGTCCCAGTGTGAAGGCCCCTCACGCACAACGGCGAACAGAGCTCGGGTGAGAAACACACCCACGCCGCCTCGTCATTGGCTCCTCTGAAGGGCAAGGCACCGTGCTGACGGGGACATTGCTGCAATTGCATTGCTGTCGGGGCGGCTGGAGGTCGGCCAGAACATCGTCATCTACCCACACGCAGTGCAGACGCGCATCAGGACCATTCAAGTGCCAAGATGGGGCAAGGAGGTGTCTTCTGATGGGTGAGTGATTGTGTTTTGTGTGTACGTGTTCGGAGTTTCAAATAGGACCTCGCTAGTGCGTCGCAGACCGTGTGTCCATCTGTGCCCCGGCAATCGGAGGCGAGGAGCTGACGGACGGTCGGTCGGTCACTGCCTAAGGTGCGAGACGGTGTGTTTCATGGCCAATCGGCGTGCATATGAGACAGACGTTCCAAGAAACATTCACGGGCGAACAGAAAACAACAGAGGACCCAGACGAACATGTAGAAGAGAACACAGACAACACTATGACAGATATGTACGAAAACACGCAAAGACACGCAACAGAAACCATCGATTGTCAACAGGCCAAGACACCGAAGCATCTGGACATGCACATCGTATCAAATCACACGCAAAAAGGTGAGAACAGTCCTGGCGATCAATAGAGAGACACATACGGC